ACGCCTTTCCCAGCTATCGATAAGTCATAGCGCTGATGGTCGTGACGTCATGACTGAGGTAAATTGTTCTATTGGGTAAATTTGCATGTAATATTGCCTCCAAGTTGCTCGTTTAATTTAGTAATATACAACATACATATATAAAAATTCGTTCAATTTAATTTTTAATTGTAATGGCAGGTATAGCAAATGTTGATCTTAAATATTTTCAAATTTGCGAATGGCGCCAAAGTTTACTACTTAACAAAAATCTTAAATCACGAGCTGACGTTGTTTATAATTAGGTCTAAGTTAATATGTTCACTTAATAATAAATTTGGCCGCGTGGACTTTTGTTGTCAATATATGTTTAAATAACAAATTTTTCATTGAAAAGCAGTGAGCTGTTAACGAGAGGACTAACATTCCTTGAACATTTTTACTGCAGCCCTTAAACTAAATCGATTGCCCACATCATATCGAGTCGGTGGTATCGAGTAAAAAAGCGAAGAAATTTTTTTTTGCAAAAACGTCTTGTGAGCTAAATTTGGAATTGCTTATTGTTAGTTACTGTAATTTACGATTAACTTAGTAGGCACACGTGGAGCAAATGTCGCTTTTTCGCAAACCCAAGAAAATACAGCGACGGGTGTTCTCCAGCAATGCAGACGAGGACGAGGATATTTCGGCTGTGGACATCCATGGCGATTTGGAAACGCCCCCACCCCCGCCGCCAATAATCTCCTTATCCGGCAAGCGTGACAAAGATAAAAGCAAGAAAACAATTCGACTATCCGATGACAGTGGAGCAGTATCTGGCGGAGCTGCCGTCCAACACAAACCAAAAGCTCTTCTCAGCTTTGCTGACGATGGTTAGTGAAATTCCTTAGTTCTTCAATTAATATTTCATATTTACTATTGATTAATTCATTTATAAATGCAGAGGACGACGGAGAAGTGTTCCAAGTGCGCAAATCGTCGCACAGCAAGAAAGTAATGCGAATGCTGGACAAGGAGCGTCGCAAAAAGAAGCGCGAGGAACGAGCGGATATAACTGGACACAGCGGACACATTGGTTATGAGAATGGTGGTAATACACAGCATTTAGAGTCGTCCAGTGCCACTTCGGCTTTGGCTTCGGCCTTTGCTTCGGCTTCGGGTTCTGGTGCTGCTGGTTCAGCCAATCTCTCTAGTAGATATAAATGTACTCCGATAGCTAGCGACAATGCGAGCGTACAAAGTAAAAGTAAAAAGTGTGATAATGATATGATCCAAACCGAAATACGCACAGACGACTTTGTGGTAAGGTTATTATTATTCAATTTCTTATAAAAAACACAATTATTTACGTTTTACGTACAAAATCAAATATGCATTAAATCAATATGAAGTAGAGCTCAGTATGAGAAAATTTTTTTAATCATGGATAATTCTTTGGCTTGATTGTTGCATATATAATTAAAACCATCGAATTCAATTTTTAAATCCAAATTAAATCGAAAATAATGAATGCTACAGTCATAAGACGAATCCTTGCCTGTACTTTTATAATACATATTGTAAATATGTTTTTGCCTATGATAAATTTCAAATGCGTATTTAGTTATTATTTTTAAGCGAACCATTGCAACATAACTAATTCTTGCATGTTTACTAAACCCAAAACACTATTCGAGATTAGATTAAAGATGAGATGTTACATGATATACCATAACCTATCTCGGACTGTGTACAAATTTGTGTTTTATGTATTTAATCTTGCCGTAAATGCATTCAATAATGTATTATATTAATCTTGCTCCAAAAATTTAGCTTGTGGTCAAGAAGTCGGAAACCCCAGATGTGCTATTAAATGGACGCGCCGCTCTTTGTGCTGGTCGAGACGATATGAGCGATGATGATGAGTTTGATGATGGCGAGAGCGATAAGACGCGCCATCGGTTCTCAAAGCCCGAGCACTTGAAGCAAATGCTTGAGAGCGGCTCTATACCAGATGCTGCAATGATACATGCGGCACGGAAGCGTAGACAGCGGGCCAGAGAGCAAGGTAAACACCTCGATAATCTACTGATTGACATATACATATGTATATTAATAAATGTAAACATATCTCCAGGGGCTGTGGACTACATACCCATCGAGGAGCCGAAGGAAACGCCAAAGCTGAGTACACGCTTGCCACGCGAGGATGTGGAGGGCGATCAGTCGGACGATGAGGAGCGCATGGATATGAACGACATAACGGGTCGCAAGGAGCGCGAAGAGCGTCGCGAACAATTCTATGCCGTCGAGAATGATTGTATGTAGTAGTTTAGATAGCTAATGCTTTCTGTCCAAGACCAGACGACGTTTTTATGTTGCTATGATTGATGTGGATATATTGCCTAATATTTCAATATGTTCAATTCACTTTAGTAACTGAGGAAGATTCCGATCGCGAAATGCACGAATGGGAGAATCAGCAAATACGAAAAGGCGTTACGGGTGCTCAGCTGGTTCACGCCCAGCATGAAACTGTGCTATCGCGGTTCATGATCAAACCGGCCGCGAATAGTGGAGCAGATGATGGGGCTTACGAGATGGATGTGGATCCAGTGACGCCATCGACTGCGACATTGCTGGAGCAGGCTTATGCGAAGACCAACCTGGACAAAAATAGTATAATGGCAGCCAGCATTCGTGCCACTCTCCACAAGACCAAGCGAGAGAAAACGAAGGCAACCGCGCTGCGTACTCCACAGGAGATGCGCTCCACGATAGTAATGCGTCTTACGGAACTGCGAGAGCGGAACGATGAACACAATGCGAGCATCACGCGCATCGAAGCGGAGCTGAAATCTTTGAAGCTGAAGCAGAGCGAGTGCAAACAGAATGCGCCCACGGCGGCGGCTAAATATAAATTCTATCAAGAGATCAAGTGCTATGTGAACGATTTGATAGATTGTCTGGCAGCCAAATCTCCGGTGATCAACGATTTGGAGAAACGCGCTCTGCAGCTCTACAGCAAGAATCAACGCTATTTGGTTAATCGAAGGCGGCAGGATGTCCGTGATCAGGCCAAGGAAATGGCGGAGGCTTCAAGTAAACGAACCGAAAATAATTTGCTTATATTAAAAAAATGAATCTATATATAATTTATATTCGTAGAACCTGTGCAAGCGGCAGCACGTAAAACGCCGGAATATGAGGAACAAGTGCGGCGAGCAGCTGAGCGGGAAGGCCGACGCACGCGTCGACGTTGCGAACGTGAACGAAATTATTTATTAGCCACCCACCTGGATGGCATGTCCAGCGATGACGAGATTGCCGATCAACAACAGGAACAGTGCGTCGCGACGAAGGCCCTGATCGAAGCGCAAGCGGCAGAGGTCTTTGAAGACGTCAACGATGACTTCTGCAAAATTGATCTTATACTTATGAAGTTCTATGCCTGGCGTAAGACAGACATGTCTTCGTATCAGGACGCCTTTGTCAGTCTTTGTCTGCCCAAGCTGCTCGCACCGCTAGTGCGTCACGAGCTCCTGCTCTGGTCCCCGTTGTTGGAGGAATACACAGACATTGAGACAATGAATTGGTATCAAGCCTGTATGCTCTACGCCTGCCAGTCTAATGAAACGGCTGAACAACTCAAACAGGATCCAGACCTCAACCTTGTGCCTTCGCTTATAGAAAAGATTGTGTTGCCCAAAGTGAATTGTAAGTGGCACAATTATAATTTTGAGTTGCTTATTAATTGGGCTTTTTTTTTTTATTGAATGCTTAAGCCCTGGTCGCGGAATGCTGGGATCCATTGTCCACGACACAGACGCTTCGTCTTGTCGGCTTCATCAATCGTCTGACTCGTGAATTCCCGCTCAGCAGCAGCAGTAAGCAACTGAARAAGCTTTTCGAGTCAATTATGGATCGTATGCGACTCGCACTCGAAAATGATGTTTTCATTCCCATCTTTCCTAAACAGTACGTAGAACACTATTTATAATATGAATATATTCAAATTGATATACAATGCTGATTGTAGGGTGCAGGAGGCCAAAGGCTCGTTCTTCCAGCGTCAGTTTTGCAGTGGGCTTAAACTGTTCCGCAACTTTCTTAGCTGGCAGGGCATACTGGCAGACAAGCCCTTAAGAGAACTAGCTATTGGAGCTCTGTTGAATCGCTATCTGCTAATGGCCATGCGCGTGTGCACACCAAATGATGCTATTAGCAAGGTCTCGATTATTGTGAATACTCTGCCAACGGTTTGGTTGCTGACCAACAGTGACACGCTAAAGAATTTGGAGTTGTTCATTAGCTATATACGACAAACGTTGGACAATTGCGATGCAACTAACCCGCTTCTCATGTATGTAAATGGAAAATCAGAATTTACCTGTAATGAGTTAATATGTATATTTACTTTTAGGCAATCCTGCGACAAGGCGAAGCAGATACTACAAAGACTACACAGCTTATAAAATGAAATGATTATACATTTATCAGAATTTATACTTAGCTCAATGAAGGCTATTTTGCTTTGATATGTCGAAACACAATCAAAAAATCCAGATAAACAAGAATGGAAACATAGCAATACATAGGTCCCTCATAACAAAACTTTGCTCATAATTGACGCGATTGTAAATACCTTTCTAAGCATGTTTATTGAAATACTTGAATTTCTATGCTTTTGTTGGTTAGACAAAAAGGCTATGAAAAACAAATTTCATTTAGGAAATCTTGTCTAGTATATATGTAGGATTCAGCGTTTCAATGGCGACAAATCCTAGTGTTTCGATTGGAATGATACAAAAGTGATAAAAATGCACTCTTTTTTAAATTTATTTTTTTTGCTAAAACTACTTTCATTGTATTTAGGACACTTGCGTGCATAGCAATAATAAAAACAATTTTTAAATTATGTACACATTACTTAACAATTCCAAAATACATATTACTTCATGCAGACCATAACCAATAAAAGTGCAATTTCATTTGAACATTTATCCAGAGTGTGTTTACCGTTTACTGAACAATTTTTATTCTAGTTTATCGAATAAAAGGTTAATCAGCCTTGGATACCGAAACGCGGGAAAAGTTCTGGGCGAGATCCACAACTTCCGCTTGCAGCGTTTGCAATTGTTCGCTGAGGGATTTGGATTCTGGACTGTCCGTAGTGCCTTGTTGCAGCATTTGCAAAACAAGATCTGCGAAGGATTTGGATCTTTAATATTTAAGAACGTAAAACGAAGTGCAATGCACAAGCCTTACCATGATAACGCAGAAGGAGCGCATTTTGTGACTCATTTAGAGTCGGTCGAATGTGTTGCAGAATGGTCGAAACAAATTTGCCGGACGCGTGCAAAATGCAGCCTGTAATTGTGGTGAAGAGTATCAGTGCAGCAAGGTGAAGTAAGAGAGCGGGTTCACGGCATTCTGATAGCTGTTGCATGAGCTTCTCCTTGTGACTGACAATCAGTGCGCGATCCTTTTTCTTGTCGGCCTTTTTAATGATCATGCTGCAGGTTTTTAGCACCGCCTCCGTAGCCAGTTCAAAGTCTTCTATGCTCTTGTTCAGCGCTTTGTTTTGTTCAAGTAGAGCATTGCGATACTGTGCATCTATTTCGTGAATAAGAGGTTATATGAAATATGTTATATTTCATAGTATTATTTGTTATTCGATATGATTTTAGTTACCACACTCTTGTATTAGTTTGATACGTTGATCGACGTTTAGATTGGTCATCTTGACAGACAAACTGCATTCGGCTGCCACATAGAGGGTCAGTTCGTTGCAAATGTCGTTGCCCAAGGACTTGAGCAAGTACTTGATTAGTTGCGCTTGGGTCTCTGTATTGAATAGCTTTATACCCTTCTCATAGAGGCGTAGATCCACTAGTAACGTGTTCACGCGTTCCTGAATGGCGGCATGAGTCTGGCGTCGATTCGTTTGGGGTGTTGCCTCATACAGTTCCTGCGCCTTAGCTAAAGCAGCCTGATTCAATTGGCTATAAATGTGCAGACATCATTAATAATAGACGAAAAAGAAAGTTAGTGAGGTTAGCATACTTCACGAAGAGTCCTGCAATTGGCTTGGCAAGATGTTCGAGTCCCTCTTCCTCCAGCGTACTTTTGATTCGGTTTATGATATCTGAACTCTTAACCAATTCTAATGGCTTGACGGACTTTCGCGAGCTGCCCGCAGATTGTTGAGTTGTCTCCTCATCATCGTCACTGTCATGATTGTGAGCAGCCGCGCGGCCCCGCTGATGCTTCTTGGTTGACTTGGTTTTCGTCTCCCTTCCCTGCGCACCGCCACCCGCCTTTCCAGAGGCGGCTTTCTTCCGGCGCTCATCTCGTTTGTCCACTTTACCATCGTCATCCGCATCGAAGTTGGCGCTCGAATTGCTGCCCTTCTGCGCCAGCGTCTTTTCCACAATATATTGCTGATAGGCACCGCTGTCGATGGCTGCTTTGGCCAGGGCGTGGGCCATGTCGTGACAAGGTTGTATCAATTGAGTAAGATATGCCTGTGAGAAGACTGCAAATGGAAAGTGAGTATGTTGATACACTAGTAAGTCAATAAACGAATGTATTACCAATGCTCTGCAGGTAAACAAAATGGCTGGGATTGCAGTGCTTCTGGGCCATCACAGCCTCGAAGGCTTCCTCGATGTCTTCCTCTGACAAATTCGATGGCAAGATGGTAGCCAAATCAAGATATTGCTTCGTTGCACTGCACTCATTCAAAGCAGATACAACTGTAAGCTCTATGAGATGTGCACCGAGTGCCACACGCTTCAAGAACAGGAACTGCTCGTTGGGGAACTGTTTGCGAATATAGGCTTTGGCATCGGATATGCCCAGCTTATTGATGGCCTCGTATTCCAGGAAGCTATTCTGTTTGTAGAACGAGTTGACCCACTCCGCTTGCGTCTTTGCATAAATGTGCGGCACATATTGGGCGTTGGCCTGCTTCGATGTCACCTGACCAGCGGGCATAATCTCATCTAACAGCGAGTGAAAGATTTTCTCCTGCACATTGATCTGCTGCAAGATCACGGACACATTTGTGGGTTTGGTGATGGCTGCTAGGGCGCCGCGTATTTTTGCTTTGCAGCGTTGAATGTACGCTTGGGTAAAGAACACGCGCGGGTTGGTGGCGTCCTGGCGACCCTTGATAGTCTTGCCCAAATGCTTCTCCATCACATTGTGTTGAAGAAACTCGGATGGCAAATCAAATTGGGATGTCAAGTCCGATATGGAGATTTCGCCACGTTGCGACAGTTTTTCATTGATCTCCTGTGCAATATGCGTGATGTAGTCCTCATCGATAAGCTGTCCCAACATCAGGTGAATCTGTGGATTCTCTGCTGCAATGCGCTCCGCCACCGCTTCAATCCGTGAAAGATCCACGTTAAGAGTTTTGCTGACCTCCACAAGATTGGCCCGACCTCCATTTGCATACAGCTCATCTTGGATTTCGCGTTCAAGATGTTCCGGTGTTATGTACTCCTTTCCGTCATTTGTAAAAACAACATCCAGCAGCTGCTTTTCCAGCAGCAACGTAACTATTTCAATGCAATTCCGCTCCGAGAGCCTGTTAAAAGATGAAAATATGCATGACAGCTGTTGAGCTATATACTTTATTAGTTGTTTTCCACTTACTTTTGCAGCGTGGACGTTAGCTGTGCCTTCTGGAAATCGGCGGCTAAGCGTTTTATCTCGTCCCAATCGCTGCTCATTTTAAAAAATTTATTTTATAATTATTGCAATTAATCTTATTGAATTGATCCAAATCAGAAATGTGACGCGTCAACAAAAATCTATTTCTATCGTTAATTTATCGATAAATCAGCTGTTTTGCTCTTATACAAATTTTGTAAATCAATTGCATTATTATTTTAAAAGAAAGAATATTAAAGAAAATTAATTTATTTTTAATAAATTGCTATTTGTGTTTAAGTGAATACTAGCTTTAGATTTTGCTTTTTAAATTTTTTGATGGGCTGCCATAATTTAACGGTTTGTTAATTTGCAGGCAATCAGCTGACTGACATTTGCTATAATTTTGGTATTTTGAGAACGGCCAACATACGGTCACACCTCTCAGAAGGATTATTATATTTAAACCAACTTTGGATCGAATTGTCGGACATAAAAATATGTGAATTGATAGGCATGTGTGCATAAAGCAAGCGATGTATTACAAACACTAACCCTGCGAATATGTCGATCTCAAAATTATTCGTGAAAGTTTTCAATGAAGACATATTTGAGAAATTGGATCAGGATAATTACAACTCTGACTTGGAGGATGATTTGGAAGGAGCCAATTGTTCGACCATACCCGATCCGCGATCGCCAAAGCTCGAAGAGCTCTCCGTGTCGAAGTGCGTTGCAACAGTTGTCAGTTGTTTAGCGATGAGGACAATATTTATATCCACACACATCCTTTTCAGGCAGATGACCATTGTGCGCAACTGGCTGGACGACAAGTTCCAGCAGATTCAAACGGACAGCAATGAGGAAATACGCAAGCTCTATGTGGAGACAGAGGCGCGCATCGGTCCGGAACTGGCCATATTCGATGTGGACTATACCACTACTGTGCGTGTGTCCACTGATAGATTGGCCTTACGTTCGCAAGGCAGCTTTAATACGGTGCGCGCAAATTGTTGCGTTTACGGAGGCCGTTGGATGTATGAGGTAATCATATCGCTATTACTGTCAAATAGTTGGCCATGAGTTGCGAGTTTCGAGTTACGTATGGTGGTTGCTTGGCCAACGGTCAATGACACTGAACAGGCGTAAACACTTTCGGGAGACTGGGCAATTATCGATAAAAGCGCTATCGACATTTTGTAATTGGAGCCTTCTTCCTTCCTCCCTAGATTCAACTACACACAAAGGGTGTCATGCAAATGGGTTGGTGTGGCAGCAGCTGTGGCTTCAATGAGAATAGCGGTGTAGGCGACACTAAGCTCAGCTACGGCTATGACGGCAGCAAACAACAGGTCTGGCACATCTCTACCAGAAAGTATGTGGAAGTCTACCGTAAAGGTTGCTTACTAACAACAGACTCCTTGTTAGGTACGGCGACAAGTGGCAAATTGGTGATATCATAGGTGTCACCATTGACGTCGATAGGGAGATAATTGAATATTATCGTAACGGGCGCTCTATGGGCGTGGCATTTGACAAGATTCAGCGGGGACCGGGAATCACATTCTTCCCTGCCATTTCTCTGGGCTACACACAAGGCGTGCAGGCGAATTTTGGTAACCGACCGTTTGTCTATCCAGTTCCCGGCTTTCAGCCACTGATGGCCCGGCCCATTCTGAAGCTCCGCCGTGCCAATTTAATTATGGACTATCTCGTCAATTTGGCCGGTATCTTCTCACACTATAACGCGCAGGCTGACAAAAAGGACGAAGTGCCTGGCGAAATACGCGTGTCAACGAAGAAGACAGTCTACTGCATTTTCGCAACGTTGCTTATTGAACGCTTCACGAATGAGGTATTCGATCCCTACATAATCGAGGATGTCCTGCTGACACGGATAACGCATATGACCACGCTACAGGCTGAGAAGGAAAACCCACATAGTGTACTTAAGGGCCTATTGTCCCTGCTCTGGAACTTCATGGAGGCCGATGAAGTGAAGTTTGTGCTGCGAAAGCTTGTCAACGCCCTCTTGGCCACCTACACACATACCGTGCAGGGCGTGGACTATGAGAAGCATCGGCAGACGTTAAACGCCCTCCACTGCATCTGTTTGCACGAGCAGTCCCGTAAATACCTGCTCGAGAGCAAACTGTTCAAGAAACACTGGTAAGTGTTATAAATCGGATGATTCATTTTGATTTAAATGTTTATATATAAATTTATATATTTACTAAATATTTTGTAAGTTTAGTTATGTTTGCTGTTATCATTTTTTATTAGGGTTAAGTTATACAAATTTGAATTTTAGATAGATAATTTATTTTTAATCTTATATTATATGAGCAA